ACAGCCTTTTGAGGCGACATCGCCGCCAACGCCGGCCTCTTGAGCAGGAGGACGCGCTTTTGAAAGTCGGTCCTAAAACAGTTAAGGTTTTCTTTTACTTAATTTTATTTTCAAGTCCCAGTCCTTGAATCGTGTACAACTCCTGGACTGCTTCCGGTTGCCGGCCCGCGCCTTGTAACTTCGGTTTGAGTGACCTCAGCCCGGGATGCCCCTTGACTCGCCCCGGGCTCACGTCGCGATCGGCTCCCGCGGCCCCCCGTCGCGATCGGCTCGAGAGGCCCAGGGTGGGAGACCTGGAAGTTTTAGCCTAGCTGTGGTCGCGGCGGATTGATTAGTCCAAGAAACATTATATTCATGTGAGTAACCTTTTGCAGAAACAGTGCTACACTGTATCTGAAAAAGTATCAATCTTAAAATTGGCTGCTGCTACTTCGCACAAAGTCTTCTAGTTGTCTGTTGGATATAGGGGAAAGGGCCCGGGGGGACCCGTTTTGATTCAAGTTAAGATGCATCACATCAACTATCCAGAATACAAGTTTCCTCAGCTCTCCTTGTCTTGATGTTACCAGACACGATGAAATTACATGTACAATTGATTCGCCTTTGAGGTACCGGCACACGTGCCAAGGGTTCACGTCAATCCACAAGAGTTGGAATTACACATGGATCTTAGGAGCAATTCTGAGTCTCTCCTTCTGTTTCTTTGATCGGCTTTTCTAGGCCTTGTGTGGTTTTGAAGCCAGACAGGTAAGGCAGTACTGGAAAGGAAACTTTTCCAAGGTGTTACCTGACAAGGTGTTGATGCTTTGCTCTTTTCTCCCAAGTCAGTTCCAAGTCTATAAATTGGGCCCTCATCCAATGCAACTATTTCTAATATATATGCCAGCTATCTCCATTTGTACCCACTGCTTGAGGATCACATGGCACATCTTTCCATGATTAATTTTGATAAAGGCTTCAAAGGTCTCAAGTGTGCAATTACATTCAGCCCATGTAAATTTTGTCTTAGGTTTGGATTTTATGTCATACATGATTTTCAGTGGCCCTGATGGGGCAGCAAGGGTTATTATTCTCATGGTTATGTTTGGTAATGTATGGATAGTCTGAGTTTATGAAGTGTCTTTAAGCACTTCAGAAGAAAAACGCCTTCATTTTTGCTGCTGGTCCTGACAGTCACTCTAGAATGACATTCACTAACATTTGTAATGCTCATAGCTGCCTTTTACAACTCCAAACAATTTAATGGAGTAGAAAAGGCCTATTAACATTTATAGCAAGCACATTATGTGCTAGATACTCTTCTAAGCATTTATAAACTTGGCGAATGTAACCTACCCCAATTGGGACCAGGCTCTGCAGCTTCCTAGCTGTGTGACCTTAGGCAATTTACCTTACTTCTCTGTGCCTTCCTTTCTTCACCACGAAGAGGGATAACAATGTGCCCACCTCATAGCACCCAATGAAGATTGTGAAGATTAAATGAGTCAATATATGTAAATATATGTTTTACGTATGTACTGGAAATGCCAAGTAAGTACTATTATGATGAATATGTTCTTTAATTCTCGTTTTACACCTCAGGAAAGTGAGATGAAGAGAGATTAACTTGTCGTGGTCACAAAGCTAGGAAGTAGCAGAATCAGGCTGATTCCAGAGCCGGGTCGTTGGTACTTTCACCCACTGGATGAGTTTATTAATTGACTTCAAATAAAGCATGGGTATTCAACTGATCAACGCTTGAAAACTGTTCAACAGCTGGAATTTAAAGCAAATCATACTTGTTTTTAAAGACAAAATACCCCCTCATTCTGCAAAGGAAAATGATGAGTTCACTTAGTTAAGCCCTTCTATGTGATATATCAATACATTTAAAAGCTAATTTACAAAATGTCTTAGTAAAAAATAGTCTGTCTACACCACTGTAGTCTCCAGCCATGGCATCAAGGTGACCCTCATGGAGGCAATCTCTTTTAGTGAATAAGAAAGCTATGAAATTATCTAAACATTTGTTTTGAATCCACTTACATTTGCAGTCTGTATTAATCCTTGAGTTTGCCTTATGACTCTCCAAGATTCCCAAGTTTATTTGACCAAGGAAAATGTTGGGAGCAAATGTTCTAGAAATCTCGATTAGGGAGATGGTGTTCCATTCATAATACCTGTGTTTGGGTTTGAATCCCATTTACTCAGCCTTTGCTTTTGTCAACTAGGACTTTATTGATTCCTGTTCACTTGATGGCTTCTCTGTCCTTGGATCACTGTAGTTGCCTTTCTCTGGGCCTTCACACCCAATCCAGGACGATGTGCTAAGGCTCACTGCAAGGCTCATCCTATATTCCAAGACTATTTTGTAGTGACTCCTAGGAACTCACACCATCATCTCCAATCTGCTGCCTCTCTATTCCACTGGAATTATTTCCTTTTAATGTCAGCACAACCAATAAAATTTTACTTTTCCTTCCAATTTAAATGTCACCATGTTGGTTGTTCCTAGATTTCTACTTTAAAAAAAAAAAAAAGCATTATCTACATGTTATGTCTTTTTTTTTTTTTTGGAGAGGTTTTTGCTATAGGGCGTGTGCGCTTTCCAGAAAGACAGAGAGACAGAAAGCGAGAAATCACCCCCCCCCCCATGGGGGGGCCTCGCCGCAATCCCTTCTCCTGTAGTCTCCTCTCAAGACAGAAAGTGAGAAATCACCCCCCAGGGGGGATGGCCACGCCGCAATCCCTTCTCCTCCATTCTCCTCTCGGGATCTTGGGCACGCACACACACGCGCCCGGCGTGAGGTTTTTGTTTTTGTTTTGTTTTTTTTTTTTAAGAGGTTTTCGCTATAGGGCGCGTGCGCTCACCAGACAGACAGAGAGAGACATAGAGACAGAAAGTGAGAAATCACCCCCCCAGAGGGGATGGCCACGCCGCAATCCCTTCTCCTCCATTCTCCTCTCGGGATCTTGGGCATGCACGCACATGCGCCTGGTGTGAGTTCTAAGCCACCGGGTCCAGGACGCGAACCGCGGTCGACTACGTGGGAGTCCAGCGACATAGCCATTACACCAACTGCTGGTTCCCCCTGGCGTGAGTTTTAAGCCACCGGGTCTGGGACACGAACCGCGGTCGACTACATGGAAGTCCAGCAACATAGCCATTACACTAACTGCTGGTTCCCTACATGTTATGTCTTTTGTGCTCAACATCTAAGCCTTAGTATATTTTATTTTGACATTTGTATTTACTGGGGTTTGTTTGTTTGTTTGTTTTATCCCCCCTCTCCCAAGCTCTGGAAAGGAGAGGCAGAACAATAGTATCTGTTAAGTGTGGGGAGTGGGGGCAGGGAGCAGAATGGCTTTGAAAAAATACAGTTATGTATTGCTAGAGGCTTATGCCTACAGAATCCATCTCTACACATGTGTAGTAGTCATGGATTCTATCATAATGATACTAAGATAGGCAGAGTGATTTGGAAAGGCATTTTAGGCACATAGAAAGAAAGGCCAAAGGTGGGGAAAGATCACTGGGTTTGATGAGAGACAGACCAGGAAAAGGAAGCAATCCAAGATAAGTCCTAAGCTCCGAGTCTGAAACAGTAGCAGACATGGTGTTGCCATCAAAAGAAATGTGGGTAGGAAGAAAAGGTTCCATCTTAGATGTATTTGAAATGAGAGTACATCCATGTGAAAACTAAGGGCACAGTGGCAAAGCAACTGTAATGCTTTTAAATTTTTCAAAACAACTAGGCCACTTCTTAAGTCTATAAAAGCATCTTCTATTTGCCTTATCAGGAAGCTAAAGTAACAGTGTTAAGGAAAAAAGTCAGACTCAGATTGTTGTCCTTGGAAAAGAGGGCTTAGTTGAGCTAATTTAACCTTTATTTCTGGCTTTTCCCTGGCCTGCATCATAATGACTTCTGGCATCTGATTTGCTCTTAACAATCTCCCAAGCTGTGCAGCATTTCCTTTCCTAACTAATGGCCACCTCAAGGGAAAGATTTTGTGTGGCAAACCCCCCAATGTCTTATCTGTGCTCTTCCAAAGGCAGAAATACAGTGAGACTACATCGTGATGGTACAAGTAGGGTCCATGTCAAATTACTGTGAGGTCCAAGATGCAGAGACAGAGGATCCTTATGGAGAGAGTTTGCCCTACTAACCGAGTGCTCTGGGAGCTGTGCTTCCTTTACACCTCTCAAAGGGCAGAGGGGCTTTTCTAGGGAAATAAAAATTATAAATGTATGTCTCTGTGGGAAAGTGGCTTCTGTAACATCCTGTAGCAGCACATCACCATGACCACCAAAGTCTGTTGCCACTCAGAAATTTCATGAAACTTCCTTAAATATTTTTCCTAATATAGGGACCAGCAGATAGCATAATGGTTACATTGCTGGACTCCCACATGGCCAACCACAGTTTAAATCCCAGGCCCAGAGGCTTAAAACTCATGCCAGGCGCATGTGCGTGCGTGCCCAAAATCCTGGGGGGAATGGAGGAGAAGGGATTGCGACATGGCCATCTCCCTTGGGGAGTGATTTCTCACTTTCTGTCTCTGTCTTTCTCTGTCTCTCTGGCGAGAGCACGTGCCCTACAGCAAAAATCTCTCTAAGAAAAAAAGATTTAAAAAATTCTCCTGATATAAAAATACCCTTCTAGAAATGCCCAGGCATTGTAAGTATATGTAACCTTTCTTAGTAAACTGTTATGTAGATTCTTTGCCCTTAAAACCAACAAACTTTTCTTGTCAATTTAGAAAGCCATACACATGATTTGACCTTCAAACTTCTACCTCTTAAAATGGAAACTGCTAGCAAGTAGCTTTTACCTGAGGAATATGGCATGCACGTGTCTTTTATACTGCCTTCCTGCCAAAAGAAGGGTGACCTTAACACACTCTTGTGCAGTTCTGTTGCTAACTACATTGTGCTCAACATCGCTTTGTAAATACAAAGATTGTGAGGCCACTGCCCAGCTTCCTGTATGGCCAGCACCAGCAGCGGAACTCTTCACCTAGCTGAATTCTTTAGTTCTTTGCAGGCAACGGCATTACCTGAAGCTCTGCGTGAGATTCACTTCAGCTGTCTTGCGGAAAGCTTCAGATATCCTTGGTTCTATTTAAGCTGTGGAAATACACGTCAGTGAGGTTTGGTTCTTGGTGGTGGTTGCTAGTATCAGGTCACTTTGCTCACTGGTGAGTTCATTCAAACCCAAAAAGTTACACCTGTGTCCTGTGCGCGGGTGCTGCAGGCTTAGGTGGAGAAAAGCAGGGCTAGAATTGGAACCCAAAGCCCAGAATGGCAGGAGAGGATGTGGGGGCTCCACCCGATCACCTCTGGGTTCACCAAGAGGGTATCTACCGCGACGAATACCAGCGCACATGGGTGGCCGTCGTGGAAGAGGTAACTGTTTACATTTTGCTTATTTCTTTAATCTTGCTTTCAAGCAACTCAGTTTCTGTCTAGCCTCAGTATTCTGAAGTGTTTGGTTTTATTTCTGATCATTCCTTTCCATTAGGAGACGAATTTCCTAAGGGTACGAGTCCAGCAAGTTCAGGTTCCCTTAGGTGATGCAGCTAGGCCAAGGCACCTTCTTACCTCCCAGCTACCTCTCATGTGGCAACTCTACCCTGAGGAGCGCTACATGGATAACAACTCTCGCTTGTGGCAGATACAGCATCATTTAATGGTACACATGTTGCTTAGTCATTTTCCATTGCATCAGGACTCTTAAAACTGAGTCCTCTATGAACTTTTCTTTTCTCAACAGGTCAGGGGAGTACAGGAGCTGTTGCTTAAGCTTTTGCCTGATGATTAACTTGGTATGTACTTCTGTTTCTCCCCTGTGCCCCTTTCTTTATTTTCACTGTATTCAGTTGTGGTGATTTTAATGATTTTTTCTTTCCAGGTGCTGGGATTCTAGGAAGATATGCTCCTTTGTTCTGTTCAATATATGGCAATCACTTCATCCACCCTACAGTGCACCTACCCTTGGCCTGGGGGGAGGGAGTGGGTTGAAAAACTGCTCAAGAACACAGAAGTTTAGGAAGGGTCATGAAGAATGCTGCAAGTGAAACTGCAGAGAGAGGGTTACCAGGCAGAAAGCAAGTCAACCAAAGCAGTTAGTCAGGATGGTAACTGGAAACTGACTCCTTTGGAAATTGCCATAGAACCTTTAATGGACATCACCGGCTCGAACTGGGATCTGATGAATCCCACAAAAGTCAGCACCTGCTACAGAACAGATGCCCTGATCACCAAGGACTTGGTACTGATTTAGAGAGAAGAGAGCAGCTCCTAGCAGCAACATCCATTTGTCGCTTTTCTTTTTGCCCTGCAGCAATTCGCCTGCCTTTCCTTCTCCTTTCCTGTAAATATCCTAGGCTTTGCTCCAGTGTTTCCCATCCCAGTACTGACCTAATTTGGATCTGCTGAGAACTTACGGGGCTGGGGGTGGGGAGGAGGCGGATGATTTTGCACTGATGAAATTAGCTACAAAGGCTCCTGGGCCTTTTTTCTTTTTGAAATAGTGTCTTCAAATCATTAGAAATTGCTTATAAAAATTGTGGGCATTTAAATTCATTCTCAGGTTACAGATATTTGAAATACACTGGTTTTGATAAGAGTGCAAAACGTTTTTGCTACTTAACTGGACCTTTCTCAGGAAGTAATTTAAGCATGAAGTATTGCTGATTCTTAAGAAAACATTTAGCACTTAAAACAAGTTTCCTGAGTTAAGTAGTCCTAACAGTTTATATACATTAAAAGTAAGTTTTTACTTCCTCTAAAAAAGGTCTTAGGAATAATAGCTACCATGTATTGAATCCTCACTGCCTTCTGGGCATGATTCTCTGCACTTTATACACTTCAGCACACTTAACTCTTCCATCAATGCTGCGAGGTATGCTGCCCATTGCACACGTGTGTAATAAGGAAAAAGGCTCAAGCGCTTTACTCATTTACCAAGGTTTCTTCTGCAGTGGCCTGTGGTGTCAGTTCCTTTAGCCCAACATTGCTTTACAATATTCCAGATGAGCCAACTGATACAAGTCCCCCCCCCCCCCGAGCACGTTTCTATATCTTGAACATGAGATGAATATTAGAAAATACAGCTGATTCATCCTACGAATGGGAAGAGTGTTTTAGTGTCATTATTTTTCAGCAATTGTAAAGACATACTATTTGTCCCAGTAGAAAATTCCATGTACAGAGGCTTTAAAGTCCTTATGGAGCAAAAGCATAATAAAAATCATTTTTCTTGTTTCAGATTTCTGGATATGCCGCAGAAGGATCCATGCCAGAAGCAAGCCTGTGAAATACAGAAATGTTTACAAGGTAGTGTCTGAAGTACTTTGAACACAGTTTTCCACTTTGAACAACAATAAGAGACCAACTGTTCTTTTATCAGCAACCCGTGTTAATGCTTCTCAATGTAACATATTTTGTAATTAACTTATCTGATGATTGTCCTATTATTATTAAAAATGCATAAAAGTGATGTCACTGTAAGCTAGGGATTCTCAGGTCAGGTTGTATATGTTAGAATCACCTGGAAAACTTTAAAAACTGCTGAGCTGAGTTTTTTTTGTTTGTTTTAGAGATTTTTGCTATAGAGTGTGCACTCACCAGAGACAGAGACAGAAAGTGAGAAATCAGCCCTAGAGGGGATGACTATGTGACAATCCCTTCTTTTCCTCCTCCAGTTTCCTCTCAAGATTTTGGGCACACATGCACATGTGCCCAGCAAGAGTTTCAAGCCATCAAGTCCAGGACTTGAACCGCGGTTGGCCCTGTGGGAGTCCAGCAACTCAACAACTACATCATCTGCAGGTCCCACAAAGACTTTTTTTAAAGACTAGGTTTTTTGTTGTTTAACTGCCAAGGCCATGTGCACTTGTCACAGAGAGAAGGAAAGGAAGAAAGCACCCCTAATGGGATGTGTTCATGCAGCAATCCCTTTTCCTCTATTTCTCCATCCTGTTGAGATCCTAAGAATGCTCACATATGTTTCTGGCATGTTTTTCAAGCCACTGGGGTCAGGATTCAAATGGAGCCATGGTCAGCCATGTGAGAACTGGCCCAAAAGACTAGTTTCAGATAGGTTGGTTATACTTCACTGCAGCTGGCAACTCACTTTTTAAAAGTGGTAGAAGGCAGACCAGCCTGGGTAGCATAGTCTCTGGTATGCTAGGGACTTCAGCATCACTGAAGGCCATACAGCCAACCATGGGTTCAGATCCCCTGGCCAGCTTAAAGCATGCAGGGGCCCAAGATCCTGAGGAACTGAAGGGCTAGAGAGAGATCGCATAGTGGTGGGTGACACCTGTCAAGGGTGTGCATGTCACCCTACCATCATAGGAAAAAACATGCCTAAGAGAAAAGTTCACTGGAGGAAAGAAAAGGGAAGGAAAGAAATGGGGAGTGGCCAAATTGCAATCCCTGCTCCATTTTCCTCTCAGGATTTTGGGCATGTTTGCACATGCCACAAGTTTATTTTTCAAGCTGCTGGGTCTGGGACTTGAACTGGACAGTCAGCCATGTGGGATCTAGGTACCTTAACCACCATGCCATCTGCTCACCTGTTACACTGTCTTTCTAGTCACAATTGTCTTTCCTATCCTGGGCTAATTCCTATTCACCTCATTTTAATACTCATATAGTAGGGATCTGCAAATGTTTTCTCTGAAGGGCCAAACAGATAATATTTTAGGCTTTGTAAGGGCTTCATTTTGTATTGTGTATTCACAATTCTTTGGAAATCTAAAACCTATTCTTAGCGCCTAGCTATAAATAAAGGGGGGGGGGACAGATGTGACTCTCAGGCTGCAGTTTGCTGGTTCCTGATGCACAGACCTGTATGCAAGAAAAGGTATGGGTCCTACACATTTGTCTAATTCAGGAAATGACCAGAAGTGATTATCAACCCGTAGTAATAATAATAATGTTAAGAACTGCTGCCCTGGGACCAGCAGATGGCATAATGATTGCATTGCTGGACTGCCATGTAGCTGACCATGGTTAAAGTACTAGACCCAGTGGCTTAAAACTCACCACTGGGCACATGTGCATGGGTCCCCAAAATCCCGAGAGGAGACTGGAGGAGAAGGGATTGTGGCATGGCCATCCCCCCCGCCCAGGGGTGATTTCTTGCTTTTTCTCTCTCTCTGTGTTTCCGGTGAGCACACATGCCCTATAGCAAAAGTCTCTCTTAACAAAAAAAAAAAACAAAAATAAAAAAACCTGTGGGACCAGCAGTTGGTGTAATGGCTGGGTCACTGGACTCCCATGTAGTCAACTGTAGTTTGAGTCCCAGACCCGGTGGCTTATACTCATGCCGGGCATGTGTGCGTGCGTGCCCAAGATCCCGAGAGGAGAATGGAGGAGAAGGGATTGCGGCGTGACCATCCCCCCTGGGGGGTGATTTCTTGCTTTCTGTCTCTCTCTTTCTGGCGAGTGCACGTGCCCTATAGCAAAATCCTCTCAAAAAACAAACAAACAAAAACAAAACAAACAAACAAAACTGCTGCCCTAGAAAAAGGGACATAAACTAATAACTTGATCTTTTTTTTTTGAGAGGAGAGGTTTTTCGCTATAGGTCACGTGCGCTCACCAGACAGAGAGAGACATAGAGACAGAAAGCGAGAA